AGGAATAACGTTATGTCCTGATGACAGAACCAGCTCAAGCTGTTTGGTGAAGGGCTTTTCTTTCATAAGAGAAAAATATGAAGTCATCAGAGTCATGTGAGTATCTACTTTGGACAAAACTCCATTTAAAAAAAACAAAAACAAACAAGGACTTTTTTGTATTAATAGTCTCACCAAAAAGCAAAGCAGTGATTCCAAAAATGTCCATCAACCCTTTGGTTCAAAAATTATTTCACACCATCAGTGAAAACCTAACGTTATGAATGACACCAAAGACTTGTTTTTCTGCCTCACAAAACCCTTTCAAAAGAAACAGAAAAATCTGTATTTTGGTTGCAATCAGATTTAGAAATGACAGAATTTCCTCCCTAAGCTGGTCCCCATGCAGCTCTAGATAAAACACAGACCAGAGCAGAGTCACCTTTGTACATGTCCTGCCCAGTCTCCATCTGCTCCACTGCTACCCCACCTCACTCCAAACACTTCTCTGAAGCAATAAGATGCTTAAAACCACCCAGAAGTGCAGCTTTGCTGTCTGCACAGCAGGCAGCAGCAGGACAGGGAGCAGCCACCCCGAGCTGGGAGTGATGGGCACAACAAGCAGGAAAATGAGAGGGCCATGAAGCAGAGATGCCAGGGGGAAGCCTCTTGCAGCAGGTGCCTCTGGGTGGATGCTCTCAGGAACAGCAGGGGCTCAGCCTCAGCATACAGCCAGAAGTGGTCACACAGCCACCCTTCACATGAGTTTTTATCATGAACTGGATTGCTAAATGCTACTTCTTTCCATCCCTGTTTATAACCCTTCCCGCTGTCTTGTGCATCAAACCAGAAGACAAACTCTTAGGTCCTTCCAGCTCAGCACAGCGACAGCTCTAAGGATGCTCTGCAGATGCTGAGGGCTTTGATGGTTTTGACACAGGTAGATTAATTTTCTCAGCCATGCTCAACAAGAGCAAAGGAAAAAATGAAAGAGAGAAGAGGGAAAATGCAGCCAATCTTAAATAATTCAAGGAAAGACTGGGACAGGAGATAAGAGCTTATGTTCAGCTTCTGTATAATCCTGGGTAAATCCAGATCTGCCTTGGCCCAGTGAGGCCATCTGACATTAACAGACATTAGGTGCCTAAATAGTACTGAATTCCAAGTCTTTTATGCCTAAAACCTAACCTACTAATGATGGATTTTAAGTAATTAACATCACTGTGGTGTGGTGAACATCAAGTCCTTTGGAGGTCTCTGCTGTCACAGCAATGGGGTCCATATGACATACAGTTTTATGTTGATTTTTAGAAATCTTTTCTTGACGTACCTTTGAGTCCTCCTCCTCTCGCTTTTCTTCACACACTTGATGAGACAACAAGTTAAAAAAGCCATGGACATCAGCAGAATGATAGCACAGCTCACGATGGAGGCAGTCACTGCAACCTTAAATCCAAACGTCTCATATTTTGATATGGCTGCAGCAAAGCAAACACAGAAGCACATTTCTAATGTCAACCCATTAAATTATCTTTCACATTTTCATTAAACTGTGCTGAAACCTACCTGCTTCACACTTCTGCTCATAATAGCTCAGTGAGGACTTTCACATACTGTGTCAAGACAACAGAGTATCTTGGCTTCAGCTCAGGGCCAGGCAGGCCTCAAATGGGGCTATTTCAAAATCTCCTGTTTATAAGCTATTAATGAATTGTACACAAATACTTCACCACTGCAACTAATTAAAGCAGTGCCTTTGGTGCTGCAGTAGCTAAAAAGCACAACTTCGTCACCATTATCTAGTGCAGATGAGCTAGCAAACTCTTACAAGCAATTGTTAAGGATTGGAGCTGCAAAAATAAATAGGGGTAAATAGGTTTAATGGGTAAATGGGTTTAGAGCAAGGAAGTACCAGATAATTACATTCCGTTTGGCAGGCAGCAAAAAATGGGTCTTCCTCTGTTTGAGGAAGGATGCTGGGTGAAGGAGGGACAGTATCTGCAGGGCTGTGTGCTTACAGTGCCCTGGGGTTGGATGTGAATTACCTAGACAAGAGCAGGAGTGGGAATGTGGTGTGGCACAGCTGACAGATCACTGCCAACTCAGCTGGAGCACTAAGCATGTCTTGCTTCAAAACTCATCTAGTTCTTCCAGTACTACAATAACCAGCATCAGAAATGGTTCAGATGAACTCTACACAAAGCTTTGCTATTTCTGCAGCTTTTGGAGGGGAGGATTTATCTCATTTTTCTTTAATGGAATCTCTCAAATGAGAGATAAGAATAGCTGAGCTGGTGAGAGAGCAGTACGTGTCTAAAAGAGCCACCAGTCTACCAGTGATTTAAAATTATACAAGGTCTGAGAAGGGCTAAGATTCTCAAAGCTCAGAGGTACCATGTTTTGTTTCCCTGGGCCTACTTCTAGTCAAATTACTAACAACCTTCTAATAAATAAGGAGGCACACAGCATGAAAGGTAGTTCATGTTGTTGCCACTCACATGATATTTGTTAATATGGTAACATTCCCACGCAGTTGCCCCCAGGCAACCACCTAAAATTGTTAAAAAAATATCACTGTGTTTCTTTTACAGCTAAAATTACTTCAGAAAAGAATGGCAGGAGATTAGGGAGTTGACAAATATGCTGGCACCTTAGTTGGTCATATCTATACATTTTCTAAAGAGGGGTACAGCTTGTAGCTCCACAGCTGCATGTACTGCAGGGACAGAGCAAGGCAGTGACATGAGATCAGGCATAAAGCCAACTGAGTCTTTTCTGTGCCACAACAATTAGTGATGTCAGAACACACACGGAGCTCAATTACAGTCAGTGGGGGCAACTTTGAAGGAAACGGAATTTGTGTTTTTCCTTGCAGAGATGTCAAACATTCATCCTAAAGTTGGAGGGGGTGGGCAGGGCAACACGAAGGGGACGCAGCCCAGAGGGGCTGGCGTGGGAAGAGCCTTACGCTTGCAAGAGGGCACTGCAGCTGTCCAGCGGGTGCTGTTCCCTTCCCAGACGCAGGAGATGACGCCCGGCCCCTCCAGCTGGTGCTCAGCAGGGCACTGGAAGGTGATCACTGTCCCCAGGGCCGTGCCGTTGCCCTGAAGGATCTGCAGAGTCCCCAGCTGGGGAGGGGAGACGCGGCTGCACTGCCCTGCAAACAGAAACAGCAGGACAATGCAGAGCCAGAGCCAGAAGCAAAGGCCCACTTCAGTTTTACTGGGATCAGGTTATAAATCAGTCCCAGTTCATGGTCAAAACAAGGAACAGGGCTCGGGATGGGCGCTGCTGACTGCTCTGCCAAGCACCCACCCTTGGGTGCCATTCGACAGTCTCACTGCTCTGACCCTGGGACACAGTGGGTTCTACTCGTGTTGCAACACAACAATACTCAGACTGGCATGTATTAAAGATTTAAAAAAACAAGAGTCACTTTGTGGGTGCTCGTACAGATCCCGGGTGTGCTGGACTCTGTGTGTGTATGGAAGCCCTAGGGCTGGTGTCCTCCACATTGGGGGGATTCATAACATCTTCCCCACGACACTCAGACCTGATGGGCTGATCAGGTATGTCCCTCTCCTTGACAGCATCCTGTCATACCCTGCAGAAACCTGTCTTTCAAGTGCAGTGCGCCCTTGCCAGGCCTGGCTGCAATGGGCAGCAGGTTCAACAGCAGCTCCCCAGGGAAGGACAAACACACCCAGCACCTCTGCACTCAACGTATCCCCATCTGCAAGTGACAAACTCTGCTTTATAGCGCATTGTTCATTTTGAGTACAGTTCTGTTCATTCAGACTGTTTCTCTGTCATTCATACAGCTGCTCCTTGAGGCAAGGAGCTGGTCTCCCCTTGGCCACCTAATGACAGACACGAACTATACGTTGGGTTTCACTGTCACAACATTCTTTGTTTCACACTAATTTTAAACACAATTTTAATGACTGGTCATTAAGACAACAGATACCACCCAGATCTACTTCAAAGGTAACAACAATAGATACGTTCCTCAGGTTTTGTATATGTCCAGTGACAGGATCTAGAGACTGTTTTAAATAATATTTTATGGGTTTTTTTAACACTTACTAAATACCAGCACTGCTTCTGCACCACAGTCTGAGTTCCCTGGTTCCAAATGACTTCAACAGACTAAGAGGCAACTGGGCTGCAGCTGCAAGACCAGAGCTGCAAGCACCATGATGACACACACAAAAATTCAAAGGGGGAAAACATGCTTCTCAGACTTACAAGTAGTAAGAAATGTAGAGCTTTAACAGCCTCTTTGAGAACATCTTGATGGAATCACATGTTGATAACAAATCTAATTTTTAAGACTTAAAAACCTGTCTTGTCATGAATTCAGCTTCTGCCATCAAATGGCAGCTCCAGGCTTAGCACTCATCTACAGCTGATGCTCTCAAAAAGCCCAGCCCCCTGGAAACAAAACCCAAAGATATCTTAGCAAAAGACCAAACAAAAGTCACAATGACAATTACTGGTCTAATCTAGTAAGTAAATATGTAGTGAGGGCACACTTTTAAAAACACACCTTTTTTAATTCCATGCAGATTATTCCTGTTTGTTTTACCACTTCAGCAGCAATTTGCCTCAACGAGAACAAGTATTTTCTCCAGGGTTGTTTCCCTTCACCTCTTGTCCTTCCCTCCAGTGTGCCTTTACTGGAACATGTGGGATCCACGCCTTGGCCAGCCAGCCTCCTCACTTCAGATGAGTGTTATGACTTCGGGCTTTTCTTTTTGCCTTTATCTCTCAGCCTTATAAAAACCCCAAACCATCCTAAGCTGTAAACATCAACGTTTTTGCATTTTACATTTTCAAGGCTATTTTTAGATACCAGATCACATAATTAGAGCTCATGTAGGTGATGCTTCTAGCTGCAGGAGCTGCAGAAAGTAACTCAGAGCCAAATTTGATTCCAAGTACATTTGCTGAGCCACCCAGCAGCCCTCATCAGATTGCTCAGTAGACTTCCCAGTTAACCTGGACTTGTTACTCAGCCTCTGCCCTCCAAAGAACAGATCATTTGTCACTGAGGTCTTTCTTTCAAGACCTACTTCACTGAATCCAGCACTGGCCACCCTGAGGCAGCTACAGCTGGTTCAGGTGCTCTTGACCCTTCCCTGCACCATCCCTGCTCATGACAGTGCATGTTGAGTGATTAAAACCCCTGAATGCCAGTGACCTGTCAGCAGTGTCCCCCAGGGATCAGCACTGGGCCCAGTCCTATTCAACTTCTTTTTGATGACCTGGATGTGGGGATGGAGTCCACCCTGGGTAAGCTGGCAGATGACACCAAGCTGGGGGGATGTCGATCTGCCGGAGGGTGGGAAGAAGCTGCAGGAGGACCTGGACAGGCTGGGTTGATAGGCCAAGACCAACAGCATTAAATTCAACAGGAGCAAGTGCAGGGTCCTGCACTTTGCCCATAATCACCCCAGGCAGCTCCAGGCTGGGGAAGAGCAGGAGAGCAGCCCAGCAGAGAGGGAACTGGGAGCACTGGTTGACAACTGGTTGGACACAAGCCAGCAGTGTGCCCAGGTGGCCTGGAAGGCCAGTGGCATCCTGGCTTGTGTCAGGAATGGTGTGGCCAGCAGGAGCAGGGAGGTGATTCTCCCCGTGCTCAGCACTGGGGAGGTCTCAGCTCCAGTCCTGGGGCAGCTCTGGGCCCCTCACCGCCAGAAGGACCTCGAGGTGCTGGGGCCGGTCCAGGGGGGACCTTCTTCTCACTCTCTCCAACCACCTGAAGGGAGGATGTGGTCAGGGGGGTCTGGGCTCTTTTTCCAGGCAGCCAGTGACAGGACAAGAGGGCCTGGCCTGAAGCTGCTCCAGGGGAGGTTTAGGTTGGATAACAGGAAGCACTTCCTCATGGAAAGGATGATCAGACACTGGGATGGACTGCCCAGGGAAGTGGTGGAGGCACCATCCCTGGAGCTGTCCCAGGAAAGGCTGGATGTGGCTCTTAGTGTCCTGGTCTGGAGATGTTGTGGTGTCAGGTCATAGGCTGGACTTGATGATCTTAGATGTCTTTTCCAGCCTTGGTGATGCTGTGATTCTGTAATTATTCCTCAGCTGTGGATTTTAAAGTCTTCTACTTCATTTGAGCACTACAAAGCCCACACCCCATGAAGCCATGGATATTTCCTCACATTGGTCAGGGTTGTTAAGACATGGTGTCATCCCAGAGGACCACACCTCACAAAGGTAATTGAGGTAGGAAGCCCAGAGGCTCAACCTAATGACAGCTAATGAGAACTGAACTTCTGAACGTCCTGCACCTGGTTTTACACAGGTCCTGAGCTGCAAGTTCATCACCTGCATTCTATGTATCTGCCTTTGGCCAGAGTAGAAACACCATTTCCTCTTCTCCCAAGAGCTTTTCAACAGAATTCCTTCCCACCAAAGTAAAAATATTCAGTGTCTCACTATTTTCTGCTTTTTACAAATGGTTTTATTGAAATGCATTGATGGATTTTTGCCAGTAAGATATTTCTGAACTTTATCCAAGCTTGGATTCAGTGTCTCTGGATAAAATTTGTCCTAATTTTCCTCAGCAAGGGTCTTCTAATAACTCATTTGTAAAATCCCTCTTGTAAGCTCCAGCTATTAACTATCTAGAATGTTTTTGCAGTTACTTGTTGCATTCACCATTCTGACAGGTTAATTTTACTCTTCCATCTCCAGAAAATCCTTGTTTAGCTAAACTTCCATCTTCCTATTTCTATAAGCAGATGCTCCATGTAGCTTCATCCTTTTAATACTCTTCAGGCATGTTTATCTGACTAAATCTACTACTATCAAGAATTACACTATTATTATTTTAAATAAAATATATTTCTATTTTTGTCTTCAGCTGGGGCTGGAGTTTGAGGCTGCATTGCCCCCTGAAGCAAAACACAAATACTGCTTAAGAATTTATGCTGAGTTACATCTTTATTTATATTTTTTTCTAAATATCTAGAAAAGAAGATGTTCAGGTTGCAGGAACTGCTAGCACTCAGAAATGTAAAATGGAATAAAACTCCTACATATTGCTCATGTAGCTTTTGCAATAGCTGCATCTCAAACCCCACAGCTAGGAGGAACACTTGAGGAATGAACAGCCTATCAGACACTTCTACATAGTTTGTAATAAACATCAACATTCATGATGTGTTGTTCAGTTTTGATTAGCTCATGGCATTGTTCCTAGACTTGATCCAAGTCTCCAGTGTCCTCTTCCCATTACTGCACACTGTTCTCCACTCCCAGGTTCCTGCTCTCCTTACACTTCCAGATACTGGCTACTACTTCCAAACTGGAGAAGAAAACTCACTTGCTGATATATCCCCATGAAGGAAAGGCTGGAAATGTACTGATTTATTTATTTTGCAGTCCCACAGGAGTTGACTCCTGTTTGTTCATTTTACTGGAAGAGGATTAACAAACCATCTTGTCCACTCCACACACCACACCAAGACGCAGCATCAGCTCTGGTCAAGCAAAATGACCATCGAGGCAAATTCCCTTCAGGGCACAAAGAGCCAAACACCTTCAAGTTCCCAGAGCTAGTTCTGCAGCTTCTTTTAAAGCACGAGCTGATTTATACAAATGCATTTCTTAGCTTGGCTTCCCACTAAAAGGATATCCAGCATTCAAAAAGTGTTCAAAAAGAGCAGGCTCTGGGGAGATTTTATTGCAGCCCTTCACTACTTCAAGGGGCCTTGTAAGAAAAGATCAGGACAAACTTTTTAGCAGGGCCTGTAGTGAAAAGGGGAGATTTAGACTAGATATAAGGAACAAATTTTCTACACTGAGGGTGGTGAAACCCTGGCCAGGTTGCCCAGAGAGGTGGTAGATGGTCCATCCCTGGAAACATTCCAGGTCAGGTTGGAAAGGCCCCTGAGCAACCTGATCCCATTGAAGATGTCTCTGCCCATGGCAGGGGGGTTGGACTAGATGTGACCTTTAAAAGTCCCTTCCCCCCTGAGCCAGTTAATGGTTATACCTGAATCTGCTGCCAACACAGGAAAGGGCTTTGACATTGCAAGTGAACAGATAAACAACTGTCCTCCAAGAAAAGACACTAAGATTCTCCATAAATTCACCCCAACCACTGGGTTCAGAAACAGCCACATATGTAGTTTCTAGGCATTGAAA